TATGAGGGTAAACAAAGACATCAAAGACTATTTTAGACACAGATTTAAAGAATCAGGTATGAAGAATAAAAAATTAATTTTTTTAAATGCTAAACTAATTAAATATAATTTTTTCTAAGATGTAAGAGAATTCTATTCTTGATGTATATTAACCTCTAAGGCCCTAGTAACTATAAAGACCTTTTATATCTTTAAAAATAATTATATATATATACATAATCTTTAAAAATAATAAATTATTATTTAAAACTAACAAAAAAAATATCAATGAAATTTCTAAATCAAAGTATGTAAGTAGGATTTAAGAGGTATTTTTAAATTTAATTATTTTACTAATAATAAAAGTTCTTAATAATCTAAAATTAATCATAATTATAAATAATAAATTCTTTGAATTCCTTGTAGGTGTGTAATTCAAAATTCAAGGTTATTTTAAATACCAAAAAAACATTATTTTAAAGATAAATGTCCTATTAAATATCATATTCTCATCACATCTTATTTGATATTCTTATAGAGTTTAGTCTTTGAATTTTTTTTTTATTAAAATTAGAATTAATTATAGCACATTATATATGTTTTTTTAGATTATTTGTGTTTTAAATTTTCATAAAATTCTTTTATTCTGAAATTTAATAATTTATAAATAATTTATTTTTATACTTTGATTCATATATTATTAATACAAAATAAAGACTATATTCTAGTCCAAAGATACTAAATTATATTTATTATTGGTCTTAGCCTAATATAACCAAGGTACTTAAATAAAGTAAGATATAAAGATTTAAATCAACTAGGTTAAAATACTAGATTCATATAAAATATCCAATTATATTATCATTATATTTTTAATTTTAAAATTTATTTTTATTTAAACCAAATTATTCTTATAATTGGTATCTTAAATTAATTCCTATTTTTTTGAAATAATTATTGTATTATAAAAAATCTATTAAATTATATTTATTTGATACTATACATTATATAATTACAAAGTTTATATATATCATGACTTTTGTTTAAAAAAGAATTTTATTTCTTTATTAAAGTTATAATTGGATCAAAATAAGATAAAGTAAATTAAACATAACTTTTAGAATAAAATTAAGAATAATTTATTATAAAACTTAGAATAATAATGGTAAGATTAACATTCAAGAGATGACCATTTATAAGATGATTTTAAAATCTAACTCAAAATTTTTTAAAAAAAAAAGTAAGAACCTACAACAAATGATAGATTTTTTGGGAGATTAAAGAGTTGGTATTAGTAAAACTAATTTTAATAGCACTCTAAAATTTTAAGATTATAGGGTAATGATTTAAAGAATACCTTTGTTGAGGCAATCAAAAATAAGATTTTTTAAACAACAAAGTTTTGAAGGTAATAAAGACTCATATATTTTTTAAGATTTTTTATACTTTGGTGCTTATTCTCTGATTAAGTTTTTTGTAATTGTACAGATGTGGAAGTAAGACATATAATTATTAGATTTTCTGCCATTTTAATGGTACCACAAAATAATATTTGATTGTATAAATAAAGAAATGTCATTGTTGTATAAATTAAAGTAAGTAACAATTTTTTAGATATCTAAAACACTTAGAGTTTGGATCAAATAATATTTTGACTTGAATATAGAATAATTAATTTTTATATTAGGCTTAAGTAAAGATTTATGACTAAAATACAAAAATTAATTATTAGAAGTGTTTATCAAACTTATAATATGTAAAAATAAAATAATATTATTACAAAATATATGAATTTATAAATTAAATTTCTTTTAAATTTTTTCATAATATGAATGAATTTAGAACATAATATTATAAAAAAATTAAAATAAAACCAATGGAAAAATTAGAAATTGAAATTTTATATAATTTATGAATTATAATTTAGAAGTTATTAAGGATTTTCTTAAGATTTTTTAAAATTTGGTTCAGATTTTGTGAGGATAAATTTCATCCCTCAACCTAAATTATAAGATGGTCTTAATTAAGATTTTTTTTAATTGGTAGTATGAAATAAAATAAGCAAATAACAAGAAAAAAAGAAGAACAAACAAAAAACAAGTGAAATGAATGTAATCAAGAAATTACACACCTCAAAACTTATTCATAGTCTATTCCTTAGAATTCACATAATAAAAAATAAAAAAATAAAAAAATAAATTTTATAATTTTAAATAGTCAATTTTATTATCTTTCTAACAACATAAGAAATATGTAAATCCAATTTGTTATGAGTAAGTTAAAAAGGTTTAAAGATAAGAAGTAAATAATTAAAAAATTAAGTAAAAATATTTTATCTCAAGAATAACTTGCTTATAAATAAAGGATGTAAGCCTCACCAAGGCTCACACATAGTGTATAAAGGTGTCTTAGAGAGGCTTAAAAGCCTTAGTCTTATCTTTCTATCTACGTCCAATGTACTACAACCAATATAGAACTTGTCCACATCCTTTCTTACAAGGATAATATTAATTACTAGTCCTCCTATTTTTTTTATTAATAGAACTATTTGTTTTACATTTTCGACTTCACCATTAGCTTAGAAACCTTGTATGACCTTCAAATCTTACTTTGTTCCTTCATAATAGCTCTTAAGATGGTAAAACTCAAATTTATCAAAATCTTTGAATTTTTTATAAAATTCTTAAATAATTTTAAATTAGCCCTAAATAAATTCTAATTTTTTGTAATATTTTAATAATTCTAATATTACCTTAAGCCTAAATTATTCTATCTTAATAATTTTTTTATAATAATATAATTAATTTAATTAACTTAAGATTCTATTTTTTAAATAAAAAATTAAAAAGATATAAGGTTCTTTCATACGCTCTTTCTAACTAATAAATAATATTTATAGGAATTTCATATAAGTTATATATATAGATAAAAATCCGATGTAGACATTGGTCTCAATAACTAAATATTAATATTTAAAAATAAGAAAAATTATTAAACCAACTAAGATAATCGCCTTGAAGACTTATTGAGATTCTATTCTTACAAATTTTCATCTAATAAAAAATTTGTAACTTACAAATACTTCTAAATTCTGATAAATACTTAAATATTAAAAAAAATCTTAATATTTCTATAACTAAATATCTTAAAATTATTTATTTAATCAATTCACCAATTAATATCTATTAATATGAATCAAAGATTTATAGAAATAAAGATTTAAAGACTAATAGAATATAAGTTTGAGAATTTAATTAGCTTTGAGATTTAGAGTTTATAGAGTATATGTTTAAAGGTTAATATGATATAAGTTTTAAGATTGATAAAATATAGGTTTTAGGGTTTTAAGTATAATTTTTAGAGTTGCTTAGATTTAAGGTTTGCTAAGAGATTTGAGATTGATCAATAGGGTGGTTTTAAGAATCTTAATATTTTAAATATAAGATAAATAAAAGCTATAAAAATAATTCTTCTATAGATAGATGTTAAGTAAATATTGAGAAGTAAATTTACATAATATAATATTTTAAATTTTCTCATTAAAATTTAAAAGTGCCATTATATTCTCTTATATTTTTATTATTTTATAATTTTAATTATTAATATTTTAAAAAATCTTTATTTAAAATTTTTAATTAGTCATATAGTTCTTATTGTATTAAATTTTTAGAATAAGATAATTATATTTTATAATAAAATATTTTTTATTAACATAATAGATATTTAAAGATAATCTACTATCAAATGGTTATATTATTTAAAACTAAATCTCTATTGGTTTTTTTGTTAAAAGATTGATAATTTTTATCTTAAATTTGTTATGTAAATTCTTAATTCTTTGGTTTTCTTAGAATATATCTATAGTTTAATTCAATAGTAATAATTAATATTTATTTAATCTTCTTATTATTTGATTAAAATATAGTCCAACTAGAATTTAAAGATTGATTTATTAAAAAATAATTTTAAATAAATAAATTATCACTAAAGGGTAGTATTTGTGATATGAGAATATTGATACTCAATCTTAGCAAGGTTTTTTCTCCAACTAAAGACTACTAGTTTTTATTTCTCTTATGTAAATTATATCTTTCATTTGGTTATAATATGATTTATTTTTATAATTTTAACCTTATACAAGCTCCTTAAAAACTTTGTGCTTTAAATCTCTGAAAAATTAAAAATTATTGGACTAAATCTTCTATTATACTATGATAAAAATTTAATGCTTCATATATTTTTGTGTAAAGATAAATGTAATATTTTTTTTAATTTGATCTTCTTAAGAAATCAATCTCAAAATGCAATGTCAAACGTGGTTACAAGAATTCTTTTTCAACTATATATATTTTTTATATATATACAGATAGATAATATATTTTTTATACTGTAGTGTTAATAATTATTTAAACAGCATACTGAAAGAAAATTTTATAATCAAAAACCTAATTTGTATAAGAAAAATGTATCGATATATCAACTGATTCTAAATTTAGATTATTTAATATAAATTACTACTTTACTTAAAACTCAAATGTATTTAAAAAAATATTTGTTTTTCACCAGGAGGATTTGTTGCAAAATATTAATTTCATTAAACTTAAAAAAAATAAAGAAAAATGATCATAATTATGTTTAAAAAAAATTAAAAGAGACCATGAACTTTAATATTTCGTGATGAGTGACCTTCCAGTACATACATGGAAAAGAGAATTCCAAATAGCATTGTGGTTCAAAAGACACTGACAGCGTGAAAAGAGTTGTCCACAGGGAGCACAATGAAAGAGACAGCAGGTTTGGCTGTAAGGGAGACAGTGTGAACAGAAGTTTTTTTCGGAAGGTTCAAGTAGAAAGGGCGGGGAGCATTCCGAGCGGGTCGATCCACCCGGTCATTTACGCCGGGCCGCCCTCTCTGCGCTCAGGCACAGAAGACACGTCGAAAGGCCGGAGAAACGAAGGGTGAAGAAGGGGGGGGGGGCCGGCGAAACCCCGGTCGTCTCGCTCAAGACACAGCAGGCGGAGGAGGAGGAGGGGAGCGTTGGCGATTGAACGTCAACGAAGACCTCGCTCGCTCGCAGCTCGAAAAAGTATCGCAGAACACTCCATCTGCGATCCCTTCCCCGTTTCCCCGTTTCCCCTTTCCCTTCCCCCTTCGCTTCCAATTGACATTGTTGCGCACCATTTTGGTGGCTAAATCAAGGAAGTGGTGATTTTCTCATAGAGTTGCGAGAGGGGTTGCAGTGTCGCAGTCGCGATGGCGGAGTTTTTGGACGCCGAGGCCATGAACGGCATACGCATGTCATGGAACGTGTGGCCAAGCACGAAGCTGGACGCTAGCAAGTGTCACATCCCACTCGCGGCGCTCTACACGCCGTTACACGGAGCTGGACCGCATAGCAATCCCGTAGCGGTGCTAAATTACGCGCCGTTGCGGTGCAGGGCGTGCCGCGGTGTGTTAAACCCCTTCTGTGCCGTGGATTATCAGGCTAAGATCTGGATCTGCCCTTTTTGCCACCAGAGAAACTCGTTTCCGCATCACTACTCTTCGATCTCCGATCAGAACGTGCCCGGGGAGATTTGGCCGCAGTGTACTACGGTGGAGTATGCTCCCCCACCCATGCTAGGAAGTGAGAAGACTTTCTCACCGGTGTTTTTGTTTGTTATTGATACGTGCATTATCGAGGAGGAGTTAGGGTATTTGAAGGCATCTCTGACGCAGGCGATCTCGCTCGTACCGGAGAATGCTCTGGTTGGATTGATCACATTTGGAGGGCATGTGCAAGTGCACGAATTAGGGTTTTCGGATTTTGGATTTTCTAAGGCTTATGTGTTTCGGGGTTCCAAGGAGTTGACTAAGGAGCAAGTGATCGATCAGCTGGGGCTATCTTCAGGGCCAGCCGGAGGTTTTCAACGTGGCGGGCTTGGTCTTCAATCCGCTGGCGCTGGGCCAGGTGAGTAGGAAAACCTTAGATTCCTTTTTTTTAGATTTTGAATCTAAGTGATCACAACACTCACAAATACATTCACATACACTTACACGCACTTATGGTTTTGGTTTTGTTCTCAAATCTCTCATTATTGCATTCTTCAGCGAGAACCCTTTAAGATTCGCCGCTGGAAATGGTTGGTGGTTAGTTTATGCTCTTCAAATGGAAATGTGGTAGTTTAAAAATCCATTCTGGATTCCACGTTCCGATTTTTAATCCAAGGAATTGCTAGACATCGATCATGATGTCTTGACCTGATGTCGAGAATGCTATCGCAGGTGCTCGGAGTGGAGCTTATTCGACTGGAGTAGAGAGGTTCTTGCGGTCAGTTTCTGATTGTGAGTTCGCCATCAATTCGCTCCTTGACGAACTCCAGAGAGATTCTTTTCCAGTATCTTCAGATCAGAGACCTGCGCGATGTACTGGTGCAGCCCTCAAAGTTGCAGCTGGCATGTTGGCAGCTTGCTCTCCGGAGACTGGGGCTCGAATTATAAGTTTCGTTGGCGGACCTTGCACCGAGGGTCCAGGGTTGATAGTTTCAAAGGATTTGACTGACCCTATACGATCACACAAGGATCTCGTCAAAGATTCTGCTGCACATTTTAACAAGGCTGTGAAGTTCTACGACGGTCTTGCAAAGCAGCTCGTTTCACAAGGGCACGTTCTCGATGTATTTGCTTGTGCGGTAGATCAGGTGGATTTTCTCTTTTGACTTTTTGTGCGTGCCGTGTCGTGGATGCGGAGGCACTTAGTTCCCAGAACATGAACTTTTGTTCAGATGCGGTTCCGAACACTCTATGCAGACGTGGTTTTCTTGCGGCTCTTTTAATCAACATTGTGTTTTTTTCGTTTCTTTCATGATGCTCACTCTTGGTAATGAAATTTTGTCTACAGGTTGGAGTGATGGAGATGAAAGGTGCGATCGAGAGTACTGGAGGTTTGATTGTTTTGGCTGAGAGTTTCGGACACTCGGTGTTCAAAGATTCCTTCAAGCGTGTCTTTGAAACTGGTGATCACGCTCTTAACTTATCTTTTAATGGTGAAATTGAAATTAACTGCTCCAAGGATGTTAAGGTACAGGGTGTCATTGGTCCGTGTGCTTCTTTGGGAAGAAAGGGCGCTTCTACCTCAGACACTGTCGTAGGTCAAGGGGGAACAACAGTGTGGAAGATGTGTGGGCTTGATAAAAGTACAACACTTGCCTTTTTCTTCGAGGTGAACCCAACTACACAAGGATCAAATGCAGGGCCGGCTGCACAACAGTTTTATCTTCAGTTCATTACCCAGTATCAACATAGTGATGGACAACTAAGGTTGCGGGTATGCACAGTAACTCGTCGGTGGGGAGAATCATCTGCAAGTTCCAGCACAGAAGAAATGGTTGCTGGTTTTGATCAAGAAGCTGCTACTGTTATCTTAGCTAGGTGGGCATCATTTAAAATGGAGACCGAAGATGAATTTGATGCCGTGAGGTTCTTGGATAGATTGCTGATTCGCGTCTCACAGCGGTTTGGGGACTACCGTAAGGAGGACCCCTCTTCATTCCGATTAGCACCGACTTTCGGTCTTCTACCCCAGTTCATGTTCAATTTGCGGCGGTCTCAATTTGTACAGGTGTTCAACAATAGTCCCGATGAAACAGCTTATTTCCGAATGGTGTTGAACCGCGAGAGTGTCACAAATTCATTGGTTATGATCCAGCCCTCTTTGATATCATATTCATTGAGCGATCCACCTGAGCCTGTTTTACTCGATGTGGCATCTATTGCCCCTGATAGGATTCTGCTCTTGGATGCTTACTTCAGTGTAGTCATCTTCCATGGTATGACAGTTGCTCAATGGCGAAATGCTGGTTACCACCTGCAACCAGATCAGGTAGCATTTGCTCAGTTGCTACAAGTACCACATAACGATGCGCAGGGTATTATCTCTGAGAGGTTTCCTGTGCCCAGGCTTGTAGTTTGTGACCAACACAAATCTCAGGCTCGGTTTCTACTCGCCAGGTTGAATCCTTCTGCAACTTATAATTCGGCAAATGTACCTGCTCCAGGAGGCGACATTATCTTTACTGATGATGTGAGCTTGCAAGTCTTTGTAGAGCACTTACAAAGGCTAGCAGTAGTGCAGTCTTGAGGATCCCAAGGCAGTAGAGCTTCTCATCAGGAGCTTTATTGAGGTACAGTGGTAGAGAAGTTTGAGAGGTAGAACAGAGAGTGGTGGCCAGCACAGGCTTCTTGTACCAAACATTTTCTTTTGTTCCTGTCTTGATCATTAAATCCTACAGTAGGATTCTTGCTCCTATTTCTTCCAGAAATCTAGATCCGAGTTATGATGGAGATATACTGCCAATTAGCACAAAGCCTTGATGCTAATTTAGAGAGGGTTAGTAATTGATAGTGAGATCAGTGTGTGAGATGAAACTGTGTTCATTTTACTTGCGGATTGTAATGTCTTGCGACGTGTAGCTTTCCGTTAGTTTCTCTATGATCAATTGGTAAACCCTTGAAATTGGACCATATCGCTTAAATTTCATGAACAAATTCAATGAGGTAGGTCACAGCTTGTTTCAAAGTTGGTTTCTTTTTGAGGTTCACATTTCTGCGAGTCAGATATCTAGACTTGTAGCTACCCAGATAATCTGGTGACATTCCTATTCTTAGTACTTGCACTGGCATGGAGAAACTAAACTCTCTAGATTGCACTCCTTTACAACATAAGAACACTTCAGCTTTGTATTTGTACATACCCTCATTGTCGGCCGATCAACCTTTTCGTAGGCAGTACAATGAAGAGCTAGATCAGCCATGTTGAAAAACGTGTCTGGTGGATAGTCGTCTTTTAGACGTGGATCCAAAATGCTTGCAATTCCATCACGTCTTAACTTGGTCTTTGCCTGCACGCGCGCTCACACCTAAACCAAACATTAGCAAGATTCAGCGGAAGGCAGATTCTCCTGTTTTAGAACAAAGTTGGGCTATGTCGTAAATATGATATAAAATCACTCTGCACACTTATTACTTGGTTGATTACTCCATGGCACGCATTAATGCTGCGCGATTTGTTAGTATAAACCTCAAGAAGTGTTCACTGCAAAGAACGCATACCCTGCGGTGCCGGCTGGGTTGGTAGAGACGTGGGTAGCGAGCAGGGATGATGCTCTGGAGATTCCAAAGTCGGCCACCTTAGCCTTCATGGAGTCGTTTTGTGATGCAGTCTGCTCAGCAATAATATCTGCACAATGTAATGAAAACAAGAATTATCTTAAACATCTTCACGAGACCCTGAAACAAAAGGATGATGTTCGTAGAGAGTTTCAGTGTTTTGCAACATGACAATCAAGTACAACGATCAGATGCTCCACATAGCAAACCCAATTATCAAATGTGCTCCATGTGCCTCACAGGTAGTGCAAACTTTGTTTTGAAGATTAAAACTCAAAATCCCACCTCGTTTCTAAACTCAGTTATGCCTTGTGAACCGGTTGCTGATGCGCGTTTGATAGCCTGTGTTCTTCCATCTGAGAAGGAACCATAGTACACATTGCCAAAGCCTCCTGCCCCTATTTCATGCTCCTTAGAAAAACCATTTGTTGCATTCTTCAGGTCTCGGAAGGTAAACCGCTGAACTCCCTTTGGAGCCTCCCAATGCGCATTAATTAGACCTGGTATAGAAAAGCAAAGTAAATGGATGCGACCACTAAGGTTAGAACTTGTTTGATGGATTCTTCTATGATTTGTTGAAAGTTGATTTGTGTCAATTAGAGATGAACACACATGATTGATGTGCAGAATCGACTTGTGGATTTGAGAATGACATGCCCAGTTATATTACAGGTCTCTAACATGGACCCAGGATCTCACTTGGCAGCTCGGAATTGAAAGGGCTAGTTCCGCCACTAAGATTTTGGGACTTGCGATTCTTCATGTATCTTTGGACCACGGCCAGGAAAACCAGCAAAAACATTAAAGTTGCAGCCACTGAGACCCCAATGGCTGCCCCCAATTTGACTCTCCTTAGACACCTCAGACGCAGAGCCAACTCTGATGGACAAATTCATTACATGAAAACAACGAATGTGAAGCATGCAGTAATCTGCGTAGAAATCGTAGTTAGAATTCATGTGAGTTTGCTGGTATAGCATGACTTAGAGGTTTACCTTTATGGCAGATGCACCAGTTGTAGTCAAATATAACTAGTGAAGGTGGACAAGCTGGACAAGCTGGTCATTTACCTGTCACATTTGCGCATTTTATTATGTTAGCAAGTTTAGCATCCCCCTTGAAGATCTAGGTCTCTATGAGTACTTAATAACAATACGCACTGCAAGTTGATTTAATTGTGTAGTCCTATTTTTGGAGGTGGTAAACTTGAAATGCTTTACCATTGTCAGATTTTTGTTGAAATGCCTCACATATATCATTTCTTAAACAAACGTCATATGTTTTGGCAGCATCAAAGCAATTGTTATTGATCTTGCATTGTGCACAACCATTTTGAACATTAAAATGAGTTCAAGATTGCAATCAAATGATTGTGTTAAGAAAAATGAGACCAATGTTATATAAACAAAGAAAAATCTTACAATATATTGTTGAGTTTAGGCTTTGGTCCTAAAAGATAGTATTAGTCCAAACTCCTACATACAAACAATCACTTAGAAATTTAATTGAGATATCTAAACCTCATGTAATATATATATATATATATATATATATATATATACACATACATTCATATATGTATATACAATCAAAGTTTAGTTGCCTTCTAAAATAATAATCTATAGCTACATTATGCACAATTCAATAGTCTTTATAGTTGTTTTAGTTTTTTCAACACATAAAAAAGTATAGGAATTGTGTAAATAATATGTTATACAAAAATATAATTTAGATATTCAAGGTGTGTTGTGAAATTAGAAACACTCATAAAATACTAATATTGTGTTGACTTGTAATATTTGAAAATGATCCATGCAATTAGTTACTTTTTAAAAATCTATAATAACAAAAAAAGAAAAGATATCATGATCATGCTATATTAAATACTACAACTTGATAGATAATCCAAAACTTTTCAAAAGAAGCTAAACTAAAAAAATACTATTCAAATCTTAGGCCAATTCCAACTAATGTAAAGATCCAAAATCAACTATTTTCAATGCAATGTTATACATAAAAAGCATGCAAAAAAAAAAAAATAAAAATAAAAATAAAAAATACTATCATATAGTGGAAAATCAAGTAGCTAGTATAATCCATAAATCTCTAAATTGCATATACATGTTATATAAAGAAGCTCCTTACATTGAATCTAAATTGAGATATTGCAATATCCATGCTCTAAGTAAAGAAAATAAGGAATTTTGTTCTAATCACTTGTAATAATATTCTTGTTTTAGTAATATTTTTAGTCTCTCAAGCAAATACAAGCTTCCTTCATTTTAAAGAATATTGCCAAGTTTTGTTACAAGATAAGACTATATAACATAAATCAATCAATAACCTCTCTCTATTGCTAGCTATATCTATCTATCTATCTATCTATCTATCTTTTGAAGAAATACAAGAAGCAAAACATAAATAAGTATAAATCAGCAAGGTTGCATATAAGAGAAGTGTGGAATGAGATATTTCCTACTTCCAATACCCTTTATTTATAGATGGTGGTTGCTAATCAATGAGGTAACTTTTATTTTTTTGATATTACATCTATTTTTACTTCATCCAAATAAATCATATGTTCTTTTTTAACCTAGCCGCCACCTAAATCCTAGCTGCCACCTTAGTTACTTTTCTTCACTTTTTTGTTGCTCTTTGATTATTAGCAACTTACACAAGGTAATACTTACTTACTTTAATACTTCCACTTTGCTATTGATTAAAGACTATTAATCCTAGTCCCTTTATTAACTTGTGATGCCTATCTTTCACTGATGCTTTTGTGAGCAAATCAGCAAGCATGTTTTTTGTTGCATAATACTTCATATCAATCACTTCTATTTCAATCTTCTCTTTTATGAAATAATGTTGAATGTCAATGTACTTACTTCTTGAGTGATGTTTTGGATTCTTTGCAAAGACAAGACATCCTTAGTTATCACACTTCATTGGAGTTGCTTCCATTTGCACAAGTCCAATGTCTTCTAAAAGTTGTCATAACCAAATTGCTTCTATTGCACGATGACTTGCTGCCATATATTCTACCTCTATTGTAGATCTTGCAATTGATGGTTGTTTCTTGCAATTCCACGAGATTACTCCTATTCCAACAAAGAGCACATATTCTATTATTGATCTTCTATCATTTACATCTCCAACCCAATCCACATCACAATAACCATGTAATGCAACATTATTCCTTCCAAGATACAATTTGAAGTTTAAAGTACCTTTTAAGTACCTCATGACCCTTTTGATGGTTATCCAATGGATTGGTCTAGTCTTTGATATGTTGTATCTTACAATATTACTCAGTGCATTCCTTTCGGTTCTAAATACCTACTTACAACCAATCAAAGATTGGTTTGGAGGAAGTTGAGTCAATTTTCATGTTTCATTGTCTATTAGTGATTTGTATTAATCTTTTATGGCCTTCTCCGACTTCATTGCATCACACAAATTCAATGGATCAGCAAGAAGTGCAACATTGGCATGTTCTTCACTTACTTGAGAAAAGATGTGGTTCTTCCACTACTCACTAAGTTATTTTCTATCTCTCAAAGGATATCCTCTTTCTTTTGAAGAAGATTCATCTTATTGTACTCTATGTTTACTTCTAAGCTTCTTCTTTCTTAAATCTTATTTTTTTTCATTCAAAGGTTGATACTCATCATCATCATCATCATTATCATTTTCAACATCTTGAACATCTTCATTGCTAGTCCTAAGAATTGTAGAGGCTTCTTTCTTCATCTCTTCATCTTCATTCACACCATCTTCATTGTCATCATTATCTTCTTTTTTCTTTGCTGAAATTGAAGATGTGTCTACAAACACACTATTACTCTTACTTGAATACATCTCTAAGTGCTCACAAGTACTCTTATATTCCAAAAATTCTATATCATGACTTTTGATGATCTTCTTAGTATTCAAAACTATTAGCCTATATACCTTGGTACCTTCACAATATCCAACAAATACACATTTTGTACCTTTTGTATAAAATTTGGACCTCATACAATCTGATAGCTTTGCATATTCAATACATCCAAAAGTCCTCATGTGTAAAACACAAGATTTCCTCCCAGTCCAAGTTTCTTCGGAAGTTTTTGATGTAAGTGTACTTGTAGGGCACCTATTCCTTGTATACACTACTATTACTATGGCTTCTACCCAGTACTCAAATCCAAGGTTTTGTGCATGAAGTATACTCCTTGCCATCTTTACAATGGTGCGATTTACTCTTTCAGCAATTCCATTTTGTTGTGGAGTATATAGAGTAGAAGTTTATCTTATAATACCTTAAATCTTCAAGAACTTATCAAAATGCTTTAACATATACTCACATCTAT